CGCTTATGCTGGTTTCATGAGGATGCTTTTGACTCCAGAAGAGCGCCAAGAATGCTACCGAGGGTCAGTCTTGCCCAAGGAAGAGCTCCTAGGTGACACAGTGGAGCTGGCGCTCGGGCTTCTTACGATTGCAATGAGACACCCGAGTCATTTCATGAATTGGGGTGGCCTTGAGGGAGCAAATGCGTGCGCGAGAGGAATCGAAAGGTCATTCTTCCGCTACGCGTCGGCCGAAGCCATCGAGCTGATCACGGTTGACTCCCCGCGCAAAAGGACACCGCCCAAGAAGAATGAAGCAGTCGCTGAGATCGTCAACAACATGTCCGCTGACCTCGTGATTGATTTCACAGTGATCGTCGATGGTGATATCTACCCTGTAGAGATTACGAGAACCGACGAGACACAGGCCGCTGACAACGTCACGGACGATCCAGGGTTCTCAGTTGCTCCACCAATACCTGCACAGGATGTGGATGTGGATGCGCAGCCCGAAGAAGAGCAAGGTGCAGAAGGGCCTGATCCCAGGCATGCAATTCGTGAAGGATTTGTCACGCAGCTTCAGGACTATGTTGGCGTACTCGCTCAGGGCGAAATGTCAGTCGGAAGCGATCGCATCACATTTTGTGTTGCTTGTGGCAGTGACTTACACACTCTGTCAAATTGCACAGAGAATGCTGCAACCCGGGACCTGGTACTTCGAGGCGTCCAGATCATCAAGGAAAGTCTTCTTCGATATCCACGTCGAGTACCTACACAAGAGGCTGAGCCAATGGACGTTGACACCACAGATCATGTGAGTGTTGCATCCTCGGACCGACGACCCAAGGCCAAAGCCCGACCGCGACGCGGAGGCGAAGCCGTACGGGGTGATGTGGTCTTGATCCGTTATGAGAACAAACACAATCTCTGCACGGATGTGGAGAATCGTCGGGGCCTAAATGATGCTTGTGGCGTACCACTGCAGGAATCGGGACCAGAGAATAGCCAGCGAGTGGTGGACATCATTGAGCAGCTTTCGGACCATCGCGACCGACGCCTACCTCAACGAGGAGACCGTCCTAGCTATGTTTACGACGAGAACACTCATAGCTACACCAATCCAGGCTATGAATCCATCGGCGGCGGAAGGCCAATCCGGTGCGGGATTCTCGACCTGATCCCAACCAAGGGTGCAAGCTTCATCAACAATCGGTGGGACATCGTGAATGAAGTTGTCCTTCGCAACATCACCCGTCAGCGCAGGTTGAATGCGGATTGGGCGCTATCATGCATCCAGTCTGACTTGCGCCACAGAATCGCCAGGCGCCCAGGCTCGGAGTGGCTTGACAACCGGTGCCAGGTGGCATTCAACAGTGTCATCAAATGTGATGAAGGAGGATGGGTGCTGATCGAAGACTTGGTGAGGCATGAGCCACTATGGACCCATGAAAGCAGACGCATCACCGAAGGGGTCTCAAGGACCGATGACCAACAGAAGAAGAGAGTGTACAATGAAAGACTTCAGCTATTGTTCCAGGGGAACATGATTGCAGCCACGAAACGCAACAAGGCCAAGATTCGGTTGCAGTTCCTGGGTGTGAGAGTGAAGGACCCCGGCACGGAAGTTCTTGGATCAGCAGGTTCGAACATGTTGGTATCAGTTCGGGACCAGATCACGGAGATCCAGAGCAACGACCATTGCCGGCATGGCCAGAGGTACCTGAACCTATGCAACGGCTGGGTGAAACCATGGGCAGTTCGGGCTACGAGTGGTCACTCTGCGCATTCAGATCCCCAGAACAACTTGCTTCAGTTGGACAAGAACAGGTTCGCAATATCTCCATCTATGACCCTCTTGCAACGTCTTGGAGGTGCGTTCCACGCTACGGCATGCCGCAACTTGGATTCCATTGTCACGCAAGGCATCATGCCTGGTTCGGAGGACCCCGACGGGGACTTCGACCATAGGCGCCAATTCCGAGGCAACCAAGGCGGCAGACTCCACAGCTATTGGGGGGTGTTTGCGCCGTTCGATCACCGGAATGCAACGACCAAGATGCGAGTACATGGACGAGACGCCAAGCACATGCCATTGGCGGTCCTTCATGTCCCATCGCAAGATCTTGCACGAGAAGATGGACGTATCACAGACAGCGGCATCATGATCGTTGGTCGAACGATACCTTTCCATTTCGTCAAGGAGGTATGGTTTTGCGTCCCTGATCCTCGAGATACACACTCTTTCGCTCTGGTGGAAAAGATCTACGATGAAAGGTTGGAGAAAGAGCTGGTGTTGGACTACAATGCATCACCGTTGCTCCCCGAGTTCGAGAGATACCGAACGCCAAGCAAGATCATGGAATTGCTTTGCGAGATGCCTCCTGGACCCCATGACACAAGCAAGGAGCAGATCATTCGTGACCTCACGACTGTCCTGGAGTCCCACAGGGAGAACACGGTTCGGCATCACTACATGGACAAAGGAATCAAGTTTGTCATCAAGAATTGGCGACCCGAAGACCTACGCAGAGACGAGGATGGACGGAGAATGAGGGTATGCCCGGCATGCTACAACATCGTTCCAGCATGTTTCTCCCGATGCACGTCTTGCTGGTCACAGTTCATTTCGAGCGGATATTACCAAGGTTCTCCACAACGGGAGACTCCTACGGAGATCCCCAGTGACTTCATTGCTCAGACAATGGAAGCCGCAGCAGCCGCAGTGCCTGAGGCGCCCGAAGAGGAGCAGGAAGCCATGGAGGTAGAGACCGTTGCGGAACCTGAAGAAATCCCAGAACCATCTGTCATCGCGGAAGACGATCCAGAACAGGAACCTGATGAAGAAATGGACGTCGAGCCTGGAGAGGACTTTGATGACGCAGTTCCAGAAGCAATCGCACAGGAACGTCGTCCCGTCTTCATTACCGGCCAGTCTTTGAACATCGATCCTGAGCTACAACTTGCACGTACCGCCATGCAGCCATCTTACTATTCTGGAAAGCGAAATGCCCATTGCATTGACGCGAACATGACCGCTCTGTCGTACATGGCATACGTGGTATGCAGATCCATCTACAAAGCTTGGTCAGGATTCGCAAAGTGGGCGACTATGCCGTTGTTTCAGATGAGGGAAAGTTTCGCACTTGGCCAACGCTATGATGTGCTTGGAAAGTGGGGATCTTTGGCGGCAGTGGATAGGGAAACGGGTGTGAGCAGGGACGTGACTGATGAGGAGATCATTCGCTTTGCAAAGGAACCTGAGAACCTCAAACAGTATGATCCCAACGGGACTTACACCTTGAAGCGCTTCCGGACGAACCAGATGCTTTCTTTACTTGTACGGGGAGCGAACATGATGGGAATTGGCAGGGACAACTTCAACCCTACTACTTACTTGAAGAGCGACAGGGATGAAGATGTAAAGGCTATGCACTTTTGTTGCCTGAACGTCCTATGCGAGGTGATCCCAATGGTGACGGGACACCAACAATTCTCAGTGCTACGACCAACGCCAACTGGACCAGTGGACTTCTTGTACATCGACCCCGTCGGTATTCTGCTGACTCATTCTGATCAGTCAGTCCAGACCATCGCCTTGCTGGTGGACCACAGTGTGCAAATGCCTGCGCATTTCATGGACAGATTGAACAGATCCAAAACTGAGAGACAGCAAAACCCGACGACAAAGCGTACGGAGGCCCTACATCACATTTCGGCCGCTGACTATCTTCCTCCAGGTGGTACATCCATCCTGGACACGCCTGTCACTACGGAGGAACGTGAAAGCGCTTCTTCATCCAAGGGACCTTCAAAAGGGCGTGGAAGAACCGGAGGCGAGCAGCATGGTGGCTGGAACACCAATTCCTACCACGACTATATCGCCGCCAAAGGCCGAAACAAAGGCAAGGACAAGGGAAAGCCAAGGAACCAGTATCCAGAGGAGAACCTCCGGCCCTGGGACCGCGATCCTACGTCAACGCGAAGATGGTGGCGAGACAACGCCTGATCTTCCTCACCTATCAGTTCGTGACCTCTGAGCTTCGCCCGTGGAATGCCATCGCGAATGCTTCTTTCTTCGGTGACGCCTGATTCGTTTGTCATTTCAGGGGATCGTTACTGACGTAGATGAGTGTCACAACGTTTCTAATTGGGATACAAAGCTCTGATTTTCAATGTCAACGTTGCGGCGGAATTTTCTTCTGTCCTATCGTGCCATCTTCCGGGTGAGCAGCGTCGGAGACGCAACTCATGGGGGGTGCGAACGGACTGCGATGCCTTGTCATGTTCTAAGGTGTCACTATAAGAGCTGTGAGCAAGACCGTGTAAAGTGCAAGAGAAGGGGGCACGCTACGCGTCCCTCGACTCTAGGGGGCATGCTACGCATCCCTCATCTTTACCTTTCTATGTGACCGCCAACGCAACGTTTGGCTCAAGTCAATGCCCATAGCTAAGTGCTATATGTGTCTTCTATCCTGAGCAATCAGAGCTATCCCGTTGCACAGACGAACCGCCGCCGGCAGTGAGTGCAAAAGGAACGGCCGCCGGTTCTGCCTGCATAGGATTGCACGTGTGGAAGTAAGAGGGAGAGACAGGGTCCAGTCTGTGGAGAGTGCTAGCCAGCCACACCTACACTCATTACAGCTCTGGTGGGGAGAGCAGCAACCAAGTCGAGATCAATCCCCCACGCAGTTGAAGGCTTAACTTAACTCCTTAACGATGAACGAGCTGCAGCCCTGAACGACGTCGCCCCAAACCGAAAATCCCAAATCCCTCAATTCTGGTCGAGATTTCCGCTGCTGTTCCGAAAGTTCTTTGGTACGTAGAGACTGCCGTAGAAGTCACTCAACCACAATTGTGACACCCTAAATCTTCGCGCCAAGTCTAATCGCTAGGCCCCAGCCCCAGCCCTCCTGACTAGCCACATCCACGTCGGAAAATCCTCAAAATCGAACCCCGCTTCAACGCTGAAATCTTACACCCGGAGACCAAGCCCTACACCTCAGACCGGAAAACCCGATGAGGGATGGGAACATGGGAGCTGGCTATGCGATCGCCGCAGCGGTTCGCAGCACTGGCTCCTGTTGGGGCCTACCACAAGACGGAGTCTGGGCTTGAAACCCCGAAGCTTTCTGTTTGAGCCCTTTAGGCTTGCGGGCTTTAAGGGTTTAGGGGTTCAGGGTGCAGGGATGAACAGTACATGGTTTATCAGTAGTTCTTCGTCTCTGACACAAGGGTTCTTAGTGGTCCTTCCTGGCGAGACTTCTATACGGTTTAGGGTTTAGGGGTTGAGGCTGTAGGGTTTATGGGTTCAGGGTATTTAGGGTTTAGGGTTACTATGACGCTTTAACTTAAGATGTGGTCTTTCTTTCTCAATCTCCCGTCGCATCTGCAAGGGCTCTAGAGGCGCTATATTAATAAGAAAGGGGCCTCAATAATTAGAATAGGGTTTTGGGGGGTCCTTTAAAGGGATCCTTAAAGGGATACTATAAGGGATCTATAGTAGTGTAATACCGGGGCCTCAATAAATAGAATAGGGTTTTGGGGTCCATTATACTAGCATTATAATAAGGAGCCCCCGAAAACACTATTCCAATTATTAAGGCCCCTACATTATGCTCATACGATCCTATGCCTTCCGGATTTTGAGGTGCAAGGGAGAGGTTCCATCGACAAGTCCAAAAGCTTCAATGCTGGGCTTTGCAGAAAGGCGGTGTTTGAGGTGTAGCCAAGTCCTGTGAAGCTGAGTCTCGTCTTCAGCACACATGCGCACACAACCCCTCCCATCCCTTTCTCCGGGAAACTCGAGGACCCTGAAACTCTAAGCTTGCCCTTTTAAAGCTTGAACCCTTAACCCTACAGCTTCAAGCCGCAAGCCCCAAATCCAGTCCGTAAGACGAAGATCCGCAAGACTGTATACCTGGTCTTCTAGAGGCAGCCCGAAGTCGCTCTTTGCATTGGAAGGACCTGCGCAGTCAAATTGCAGCAGCGGTGAAACACCTCCCCATCTACTGTGTGCCCTTCTCTGCCGGATTTGGGATGAGGGCTTAGGATATGGTGGTTTCGGGAAATTCGCGACCCCGCCTTGGGGTCGTGCTAAGGGCTCTAGTTTTTCTAGAGTTGATGAAGAGGTGTTATCTTCCTGAAAATCACCATCGCGGTGAAAAATCGACCTTGGGATTGAGCGTTTCCAGTTCTCGGCTTGAGTCATTGAACTATTGAAGTCGTGGGCACCAAGGTGAGGGCTGCGGCCATTTTGGGGCATCTGAGTATGTTGGGCGAGCCTTCATAGAAAACGGTAGAACATGGGTCAACCTCATAGTGATGGTGCATTGCAGTGCGCGAGTCTCATTGTGTAGTGGCGTGGTACGTGTGAACCTTAAATATGTAGTCGGGTATGCTGCGGGGACGCTTGGGGTCATTTTCGCATTTTCCACACTTCATAGCATCGGCTTGGTTTGCTCAATACGCCTCCCCTGAGCACCAGGTACAGGCCACTCAAGACGTGACATGTCCTTTTGCGAAGGAAGTCGAGCTCTACAAGGCTGGGACTTGGATTTGGGGGTTCAGGGTTTCGGGTTTGGGGGATATCTCGTAGGGTCTAGGGAGAGTTCCGTGCTCTTGTTGTGGAAAAATAGCTTGATACCATCAGAAGTGGCCTGCCTGTGCAAACCATCCAGGGCAGTGGAAGGCATCGAAAGCAGAGCCCTACATGATGGGTACGAGAGCTAAGGCCCCCAAACAGATTCTGCAAAGCTTGGAGTAAATTAGGGAGAGTTTCGTAGACCGACAAACTTTAAGGTCTTTGCTGCATTGGGGTGGCTGTCGTGACTCAAGATGTTGAGCTCAAACACGCGCGGAACTCGAAAACCGAAGCCAAAGTCAGAGCCCAGTAAACATGCTGTCGTCCCACGTGCCGTGCTGGTTGCCAGTCTTCCTGTTTCTATGAAATAAGAACCGGATCTTGAACCAGGAACTCCCACAAACCCCCTAAACCCTGAATCCTAAATCCTAAACCCTAAATCCTAAACCCCCCCTGCTCGCACCAGGAGTTGATCGCCCTCCGCGCGCGCTTAAAGGTGGACGTGCGCCGGGATTGCAGGAATGCGTTGTTTTGGTTTAGGGGTTTCAGATCAAGAGGTTCAGGTGGTATCTTGCAGCGTCGGCTCGTGGTGTTGGTTTCGGGACTCAAGAAAACAAGCAACTATCGGAAGCTGAATGCTTATAGCAATGTTACAAAGAAGTTCAAGATGCGTACAAAAAAAAGAGTCCGCAGACCTCAAAACCTCAACATCCTGCAAGCCTTGGACTCCAAACTCCACATTCAAAGCCCTCAGTCCCGATGCCTGGTGAAATGCCTGCATGAAGTTGGAGTTTCAGCTAAGAAGGACCCCAGTAGACACTCTAAGTCGTGGGGTTTCCCCATAAGAAAGAACTAAATCTCTAAAGTGTTGGGGGTTTCAGAAATCCTGAAACCCCCAGCACTGAGGGCTCGGGGCTTGAAGGGTTTGGGGTGCTTGGGGTTTAAGATCATGGAGACTTTCAGACTCATCAGCAGTTTAAGATTTTGACGTACGGTACGCCCATACCAGCGGTTGTACAGGACTCATGCTTGCGGCTCACACCACAAGTTCCACAAGCTTAGATCGTGGACGTCCATGCCTCAATCAGCTGGAAACCCCCAGAACCCCAAGACATGCCCACACCAGTGGGGCTTGGGCTGCTGAAGATTATTGGGGTAGCTGGCCTTAGCTCTCCTGAGGCTTCAACCCGAGCACAGCCCCGCATCCCAAACCCCAGCCTGACACCAAACGCTCAACATCCTAACTTTAAGCCTTCGGCCCGCAACTGCAAAGCCTTAAACCCTAAATTCCAGCATGGGAGCCTTGAGGCACGAAACACATCCCCACGAGAGGATCCACTATGCCTTTGCTACTCGATGGGAGATCTTCCGGGTTTAGGGTTTAGAGGGCGCTTGGGCTCAGGATGTAGGTTAGACTCGAGAGTAGGACGGGTTGATACGGTTCAAGGTTTAGACAGAGGTTTCGGGCTTTGACCTTTTGTTGCTTTGGGCAGCCTTCGCTCCGAGTTGTTTCGGGTTCATGCTTGGGGGGTTCAAGGCGTTGGGCCTGCTGCTGTTGGAACTATATGGGAGTTTCCGAAAATTGGGGTACCTTATTTTTGGGTCCTCATATTAAGGATCCTACTATTTGGGGTACTACATTAGGGTCCCCTATTTCGGAAACTCCCATATTCCGACTGGTCTAAAGGTATTGAGAACCGTTACGTGTTGTCAGTGTAAGTGAGTGTAGACCAATGTGGGAAGATGTCACCCGCTCCCCCCGCAGGGTCATTGTTTATGCCTCTGCTTGACATTGCCCCACAGCACGAGCTCGATGCTGCACAAACCCCGACACGCATTTTGATACCATGCTAAGGCAGAAGGTCCCGAGATCTTCCAGTGGCTGCTGTCGCCGCTAGATGCTTTTAGATTCTGAGATTGTCCTGTGTCCGAGCTCTCGTTTCGGGGCCTTGCGTTTGCGACGCACGTTGCCGTGCAGGGCTGCGCCTTCGACTTGCGAGGGTATGTGCTTTGATGATTCTATTGGAAACAGCTTGTTGCTTGTTCTTCTCGTTGCCTCTTTTCCCTCCGCTGCGTGATCCTACGCTGTCATTTGCTATTACTACCACCACTACGACGTCTACTAGAACTGTCGACTGCCGCTAGCAACTGGTGAGGAGTTTGAAGCCCCTACACTGTACATGCTACTGGGAAAATGGGTTACTTTGGATTGTTTCAGGGTGTTATGATCCCTGCTTTGAACCTCATGGCTTTTCTGCTAGGAAGGTAAGTGCCTCCAGAACACTTGCGCAGATCGGCCCCAAGGCTCCTTCATGAGCAATGCTGTTGAGTTCCCCAAACAGAGCTTTGAGGCTTGAGGTGGGAGTTCCGGCATGACGTCAAGTAGGAGCTAGGCGGTGGCTACGTGAGCCCCTGGTTCTCCGCCCCCTGCCCCCATATTGAGGGTTTAGGGATAGTGTTAGTTAGGGCAGCCCCAAGACCCTTGGCTCTGAACCGCGCCTCCAAGCACGATGGTACAGGATTGCGTGCGTTGCCTTTTATGGGGCTGCTAGACCGAGTGCCAGAGAGTAACCCCATGCCCAAGCAATGCTCAAGCAAGAGATCTCAGCCGAGGCATCAAAATCCCTGGGCTACGATCCCAAGTCATGGAGCGTGCGCATACGACGTCTAAACATCTGTGCATGCGTGATCTTGGAAAGGTCTTAGAAGGGTGGAGTTGCAGGAACTTGTCCTTGTACAATTAGCCCGCTCTTGTTGGACAGCTGCTGCACGTCAACTAGGCATATTTTTCAAGCGCGAGGAATTGTCACCCCGGCAGCTGCCACCTATGGAAGCCGTAGTATCGGGCAAAGCAATAGCTGTCATAGGTATCTTTCCGATGTCTAAACCTTTCAGAGCCCTCCACCCTTAAGCCTGGAACCTAGAACTGAAACCTTCAACATAAGTCCTTAGCACCGTTCTGACTCCCTTGTGATGGTTGACGGCTACAACATATGCCCGCTTTGTTGAACAGGGGGTTGGGCCTGAGGGGCGGGGTTCAGCATTGAGATCAGGGGACATGCGGGAAGAACCGCTGCCATTCGTACTCGTATGTTCGAACTCCTTCTGTGGTTGCTGAATCACAGCCAGAACGACATGCATCTGCCACCGAGCATACTTGCTTCATGCAAGGAATGCTGGATGCTTGATCTGTTTTTAGCAAGCCAAGTACATGGGGCAGGCGATGATGAAGCAGGTTGCATATCAAGCAGCGCGGTAGAGACTGCCTGCCGGTGCAAGAGTAGCGTTTAGTGGCAATGTTCAGGAGGCCAGTCATCCACATCAAATGTGTGCTATTTAGCCGGTTGAAGGCGAGGATGTCCAAGTTCACCCCGGGGCCCGTGCCCCGACTTATGCCAACATGTCGTGGTCAAGCAAGTACGTATGAAAGCATGCAAGATGCACAGGCAACACTTGGACAGAAATTCCACACCCGGATAAGAGCTGGGGCGACTATACAATAACAAGTGGTGTTCGAAATAATCCCTCAAACTGAACTGATCTGGGTGCAAATGCTCCAGGAGACTGTAGTCCCTTTGTAACGTCGGCTAGACACTTCACGTGTATGAAGGGCGAAAGCTCAGCCTTTCAAACTCTGAACCCTGAGATTCTTCAGCCGTACCCTTGGGAACCCAAGTCGTGCTTTTCTTGCCTTCTTTCACAATGGTCTTGTGGGTGCTTTTCCGGGCGCTTTGTCAGTGAAGTTAGTCATGCTGCGTAGGGTCCTCAGCAGTTTCGGGACAGAGCCTTACGCTTGGGAGCAGAGGCGATCATGCTGACGACCATCCCCGCGTGACAAGCTGTAGACTGTAGACTTCAAACCCCAAACCTCGAAGCGCAAAACACTAAACCCCGTCGCAACCGGTCCAATCGTGGCAGTTTTGGTTCGATCCAGTCAGAGCAGTGCCAGAAGGTTGCAAGCCACCCTGCACATTGGAGTGCAGGTTTTGAAGTTGAGGGCTTTTAGAGGGTTCAGGGACCCAGGGACTCTCAGGCTTAAACTTCAGCGTTAGGGGTATGCGGTTTCGGGCTTTTGGCTCAGCTGCCAACTCCTCCAACGCCATGCGAGTTTCTCGGCGCTCGGCCGCCCGCTGTGCCCGGATCGCGTCCGCAGCCCAAGATCCAGCTGACCCTGGAGCCTTAAGCTCAGGGATTCGGGTTTAGGATACCGGATGGTTTGAGGCTTTTGGTGTTGGTCCTCCAAACCTAAGCCACCTGCTTCTCCTCACACCGTGGTTTGCTGCTCTTACAATGCCAGCCCTTTTCAGCACACAGCCTCTCCAAAGCGCAGCCTGCTAAATCCTGTCTTAAGTCAGCCTGAACCAGAAGTCTGTTATAGTACATATTGTGTAGTTCTTTGTGCAGTACAGTACAGTAGTTGTTAGTAAAGTTTTTCGCATATTCTACTTCACTATGATCTATTATCGTATAGCTGAGTATATTATTGTACGTTGCTGTGTATCGTGGTGTATTTATAGGATAATATAGACCAGAATCCCAGCTGAGCGTCGGATTGAACTAATTCCACAAACGTCGAAGCTCCAAAAGCAAGTCACTTCCGCCTCAACTCTCATTCAACCCGGCACCAGGGCATGCTATCAATTCTCCCGGATGCTGATCCAACAACTGTGTTCCTTATCAAGCAAAGCCCTCAGCAATCCCAAGGAGCAGCCTCAACCCCAAACCCCAACGCTACCACAGACCAGACACCTCGCCCTAGCCCAGATCCGCACTGCACGATCAGGTAGTACCACCGGATTTATCCGAAGTGTTTAGTGCTGCGGTTAGGGCTGAGAGCTTGGGAGTTCGCATACCGCATGCCCAGATTACGCATCAGGTTACTCTACCTGGCGCCTTTGGAAGAATCGGCAACCTCGCTTCTCTTCAAACCAGCATCCCCACACCAAACCGAGACTCCAAACCCTGAAGGCCTGTGAACCCAAAAGCCCGGGAGCCTCAGTTCCGCGAAGTGCAACTAATAATCATCATGATAGTAATAATAATAATAATGATAATAATGATAATAATGATAATAATGATAATAATGATAATAATGATAATAATGATAATAATGATAATAATGATAATAATGATAATAATGATAATAATGCTAATAATGATAATAATGATAATAATGATAATAATGATAATAATGATAATACTGATAATAAGTATAATGACAATACTACTAATTGTAACTATAATATAGATGCCACTTCTCAGGGCTCTGGGGCTGCTCCTGGTCGTCGCCTGGGCGGTGCAGGGCGGCCGCGCGGCCGCGGGTGCAGGCGATGATGGCGGAGGCTCGGGCGTGGTTGGGGAGGCCCAGGTCTTCGTAAACTATTCCTGTGGTCCTGTCTTTCGTCTGGCATCGGTTTTGATGTTCCGGTTTAATTACAGGCTTAAGGCTTTATGGGAGGATGTGGGCTTGAGGTTTCAGGCTGGACATCCCAAACTCTTGACAGCAAAGCCTGACTCTCAAGAGAGCCACAGGAAATAGTAAGTTGGTAAAGTTTTGCGAGGCGTTTTGAGGAGTCTCCGCAGGTTTAGGGTTTAGCGTTCAGAGCGGTTTGAAGAAGGAGCTGTTCTTTTTGGTGTTTGGTCCGAAGATGGAGACCGGTAAAGCTTGTTGCTGAATTCTGGCTCAGCAAAGCTGCTTGAGGTAATCTTTTCGGGTCGGTTCAGGTTTTGAGGATCATTTATATAAGTTCTGTGAAGGAACTACGAGGACGCGGCTCAGGACTTGACATGAGTCAGAGAGAGTCGGAACCTTTGGATCTAAAGACGGAGCAGCAAGCCGTCGACTTTTTCACATGGACGATGAGTTTGCCCAGCTTACCTACAGGAAGCTTCCATGACCACCCACAAAAGCTCAAAGCTCAAAGTCCTGAAAGCTCAAGGCTCTTTTGGCCCAACTCCCCGAACAAGAAAGCCCAGCCGCTCGCCTCGCCCTCAAACGCCAAAGTTCTGAAGCTCAAGAGGTCATGCAGCAAAACCCCCTGATGAACTTTAAGCACTGGGATCCGTACCCTAAGGGCCCTTGAATAAGGACAGATCGAATTTCAGAGGAATCCCTCCCGCCTAAATCCACAGATCCAAACGTGAGTTCAAGAAACCTGAAGGAGATGTCCTGGCGATTGCGCAGAGCGTTATGGCAAAGGCCCCGAAATCCTGCAAGACATTCGTTTTAGGGATAGGGTTCAGGAGACGGCTAACGAGTTTAGCTGAGAGAAGGCAGAGCTGATTCGATAGAGCGAATAATGAAGACTAGTAGGTCATAGCGATGGCAATGCACTACTGGCACGCTAGGCTTTCAGGAACCGTAAACACGCGGGAGTTGTTCTATGTTATTCTGCAAGTACTTGACGACCATGAGGAGCCCAACCCCAACCCGGACACCCGAGCCCCTGAAGTGTTGTGTGCGGGCTCCAAAGCTTAGGGAGACAGGGTTCATAGATTCAAGCAGGCCTTGGTAATTGCATGTCTGCCGGCTCTTTTTTAAGTCCTTGTGCTTCAGCGGCTGTGATGATGTGATGTTTCAACCCAGGATGCGGATGAGGTCACTTGTGGCATGTAAAGGTCTCTGCCTGAATTCCCCTTGTGTCTGTTTTGGTCGGGCTGAAAGCAGTCAACCCTGAACCCGTAAACCCGTACATCCTAACCGCTAACCCCTATCCCATCCCAAACCCTGAGCCCATCCCAGCAAGCAGGGCATTTATGTAGCTTGATATTTTGGATCCCTTGCGTAGAACTTTGCCTTTGCCATGCCTCTAAACATGCTCGGGCCTTGTTGGGAGGTTTGCGGCCTTAATAATTACCCATACTGTTTTGGAGGTTACTTATCATAATTATACTGTAATGGGCCCCAAAACCCTGTTATTGTGAGGGTTGAAGCTCCTGTATTAGCTAACGAGCCCCGGTATTGCTCGCCTCGTCCTTTTGGGGTCATTGCAAAACCGGGGGCCCCCGGGCTTGGAGGCCTGTCAAAGGCGCGCTGGGGGGGCCGAGCCCTCAACCGGACAGCCTAAACCCTACACCCCAAGCCTTGAGCCTTAAACCCTGAGCCCTAGCCGCTTTTGCTGCGGCGAGGTGAGGGACCTCCAAGCACAGGTCAAGGTGCGCCGAGCTTTTTCGTGTGTACTTGAAAGTTCATGTGCGGGAAGGTTCATGGTAGGATCTAGTAGGATACTACAAGCAAATGACGGTATCGATTACATACCATCGTTTGGGATGCAAGTTTCTTGGGGTCGGCATACGCAGCCGGTCTCCATCGGAGGTTGACAGTTTCCTCGGCTCTCGATCAAGTGTCAGGATAGTTTTCTCCATCGAGTTGTCACTTGGCTTCATGTCGGGAGTTGCCGGTTCAAGGCTAAGTGGGGCTTGGAGAGCTGGGGATTTGGAGCTTCTGGACTCGGGTTTAGGATTGAACCAGCGAGCCCTGCCTGCTAAACCCTACCCAGCACTGTAAGTCAACAGCCCCTTCTCCGAACACACAACAATCGCACACGAACCCTCAGCCCATGTAGACCACTCCCCCGCACGAGTTAAACCCTGTTGCCTTATGCCGTCAACCGTCAACCTCGAACACTACACCGTAAAGCCTAAAGTCGAGTGTGCCGCATGAGCTATCCCTCACTGGAACGCGTACACCGACCGGTTTATGCAGTTTTACAATTCTCAATGAGCCCTGAACCACAGTTCCCCGACGCTTAATCGATTGGAGACTGACTTCTTTGTTAAACTCCCAGCAGACCGGCGACTTGGTACCCAACTTCGGCGAGAAAGCCGCAAGTATCGTGGCAGAGGCCAGGTTGTTTGCATGTCTTTATTAACAGTTGAAGATGGCTTTCCAAAGCAACATATATTTACATGCATCTATATAGTCTATCTATATATACATACATATATATATATATGTGTGTGTGTATGTATATATATATATATATATATGTATATACATAGCAAAGGCTATGCTTCCTTACCATGATAGCTTCAACTGAGTTCCTCAACAAGAGCCGAGTTTGGGGTTCTTTCGCAGGCCTCGGAGGTCGGCGGGGGTGGGCAAAACCCCTGTATGTAGGGACTGTAGGGTTTCGGGCATTTCTGGCTATTGGGGGTTTGGGGTTTAAGGTTAGGGTTTAGGGTTTCGGGCTTGGGATATTGGGATTTATTGGTTTAAGGCTCGGTTTGAAGTTTACGCTAAAGTGATGGAGCTTTAGGCTCCTGAACTGTGTCGTGCATCGCTGCCCTGCTGAAGCCCACCCTCTTTTTCCAAAACAACCATCCCCGAGCGAGTGTCCGAAACACAGTGCAGACCGGCTGTTTCTGGATCTAGTGACAAGGCTTGCATAACATAGCATGTAGGTAGGCATGCACAAAACATCTACAGAAATATCGAAAATGCATACGTGCACAAAACATCTACCTATCCATCATCATCTACCTACCTATCGGTCTATCTATCCCAGTTTGTAGTTACGTTGATATTTGTATTCGCAGTTCTGTCCAGATTAGTTCGAGTATTCGTATTCATATTTATGTTTCTGATGTGTCATATTCATATGTCTGTTCACAGAATGTTGTATGCAAATCTATATTTTCCATTGTATACTTTACACTTATTAAGTATAAGCATATATGTATTCACATATATCGGGCATGTATGCATCGATGGATCAATACATGATTGTATGCATGCATGCATGCATGCATGTATGCATGTAGGTATGTATGTATGTATGTATGTATGTATGTATGTGTTTCGGTATGTGTGTGTGAGAGTGCTAATATAAGAATATGCATTTATGCATAGACATATATATATATATATACATATACATATACATATATATATATATGTATATATATATATATATATATATATATATATGGCGTGACACAATCTAGTCGTGTCCCCCGTCAGAACGCCCAAATCTTGTACTCGAAAAAAACAGCGCTCGGATCGACAGGCGCGCCAGGGCGGCGCAGATCTCGAGAAAGCGGTGGAAGGTCCAGAAATGCGTCTTCTGTACACCCTTACAACCACAAAACAGAATAACGTTAATAAACATAGGGTTCGGAATATTTGGTGGTTGCTCATGTTTTCCCCCGCCGTCTGAGTGTAGTCGTAGCAGGTTGGACTGCAATACATTCCCCCAGCTCCTATTCCAATTCTCAAGGAATCTGTGCTTACCCCAAACGCCCGAGCTCCGAACTCCTAAAGCCGCAAAGCCCAAACCTGAAAGCTCCAAGCTCTGAAGGAGCCCTGGAGCCTTTGTTCATCAAGCAGATCCACGCGACTTGGCTCTCATAAGATGGGGCACAGGGGTTATAGGGCCTTAAAGGGCGTCGGGCCTAGTCTATGAATATGTTCTGGGGTTTAGGCTTGGGGTGTCTCAGCCGCCGGAAGCTTCGAACCAACTGATTTCATTTTTTAGCAGAGCAGTTGACATAGTACAAAAGCACCGCGGCAGCTGTGCTGGATGGCGACGTCCATCAGCCATCAGAGATTCCTTTCCATCCGGGCACGATGAGGACGTTGACAAATGTTGATGGTTCCCGCGCATGTTGATGCAGTATTTACCACTGTTGCTGTTGCAAAGCCCGTACGCTTGCAACCATTATCGCTGGCAATCTTAGAAGTATATTGGATTTCCGTTGATATCCTTGATATGCCTGAGCGCGGAACCCTCGACTCCGATCGTCAGTTTCTGGCTTCGGGGTGTGAGACATCGCAGGGTTTTGGGGGGTAGGGGTTTCAGGCACGGGGCTTAGGGTTTGCTTCGTTCAGCCCACACGTCCTCTCAACGCAAAATTCAACGGTGCTGCGCCCTAGGTATATACCCTTAATATAGCCATTATATACCCATTATATAGCCCATTGTAGGGTAGGGGTCCCCATTAAGGGTCCCTCCTTTTCCCCGGGGCTCAGGAGTTGAAGAGCAAGCACGCCATCTCAGACGTGCCTTGCGACTTGGACGCGGCGGCTTGGCAGCAGACCAGGAGGGCTTTCCCCCGGATAGCGGGTTTATATAGGGACTCTCGAAAACCTGAAATTACCGGTCGAAGGTCGTCGGGAACTCGGGGTTTGACCAAAGCCCTAAACCATCCTTTTTTTTTTTGGATTCGGGCGCAGGGTTGCCTGTCTATTTCGATCCAGCTACGACTCTTGCTGCCATCCCTTGCTCGAAAGGGCTGTAAAGGAAGCCTAAACCTAAACTCGCACCACGTAATGAGCCAGCGACCCTTTAATTCCACAGGCAAGGCTTCACCCGAAACTCCAATCCACAACCTTCCGACAATCTGCGAGTCCCCAACAGAAGCCTCAAGCCCCAAACGCCGACTTCGGCGTGTCAGGTGGACGAAGAGGAGAAGAAGTTCAAAGCCGAGGCCAGCTCTGCTAAGTTGTTGGGGTTTTGGGGGCAGGGCCCCACGGCTCGGAGTTTCTTACCTTTGGTTAGCAGGCAATGGAAGAATGGTAGTAATAGCAGCAGCAGCTATAGTTGTACCCCATTCCTCCGGTGTTGGGGTTTCGGGTGTAGGGGTGCATGTGTTTGGCATGCGTTATTTCTAGGTGAGCTCATCGCCTGCAGTGGCTGCTGCTCCCTGAGTCTATTGGGCCCGGTGCCGCCAGCATGCTACGGACTCTGCGAGGCCACATCTTCGGCTCAAGAGTACTTCAGGCCAGGTGGCAAAGACACCACCAGCCATGGACGCATTCAGCAAGAAGCTCTCGAAACCAATTCTGTCCAGTTGGTCCTCCAATGTCCAGGACATGTTCAGAGCATCGGATGACCCGAATCCGGGATGGTTCAGTATGTGTTCTTCTAGTTTGAAATCCCAGTCCTCGGCGCCAAGGCCACTACCCAAGTCCCAAGAAGAACGCCAACTGCCAAGGAAAGTCGCGATGCTCCGGTCCAAGGGCGAGCGTTGCATGGCCTATCTTAAACGCTAAACTCCGTGAGGTTGGGGGCTTATGATTGTTGGGTCTTCAGCTGGGCGACCCTAAATTCTCTAAGCCTTGGCTGGATCCCGGAACTATTCTCTAGTCAGTATGGCTTGAGCATCTGTTATCAGGAAGGACCGTTAAGATGCCTTGGGCGCTCGGTGGAGCCTCTATCCTTCTCTAACTCTAGCGAAAGAGTCTTCAAGTCCCTAAACCCCGAACCTTCTTCGTTCAGGATATCAATTCGCCGTGAGCTTGATCCAAGAGGGCTGGGAGACAACCGTGTCCAAGAAACAGATCCTTGGTCAGACGTTCAGGGTTTAAGGCTTTCGGGATTTGATTGGTTCGGATACCATACCAAGCGTAAAGGATCAGGCCCCCAAGTTTCTACAGCCCTACAAATCAACATCCTGAGCTAGCCGGCCGACACTCCAAGTACGTTTCGGAGACATCAGCGAGCTCGGGTCCTCTCGCTTTCCTAAAGCGAAGGTCCGAAAGGGTCGTGACACAGCTCCCGTCCTGCTTTGCCTTCCATAAAAAAAGTTCTGTTCTTTCTTCGGTAGCGCTAATTCGAGGTCACGCGTTCGTCTGTCACAAAATCGTAGTTCGGAAATGGGCTCTGTCTTGAATTACCTAACTGGTCAACGTACAGCTCCTCTCTTGGGATTGCAAGAATACTTAGGCGTAGCTTCTTGGGGGGGGGCTTTATCTCCTCACTGCATTACCTCACACACGATTGTCGGATCCTAGCCACGAGGCTGGACCCGGCCAGTTGGGAGTTTGGGGTCCAGGAATTTTCGGGATTTCGCTGGGAGTTGCGGCTGTGATGAAGCTCCGGAAGGTAACGAGCGAGTCCCCTTCTCTTTCTGCGCCTCGTAATTCCCTCCAAGGAACAGCTGGATAAACATGGGCGTGGTTGGAGCACTCATTCTCAGCATCTTGTATTCAGCCATGAACCAGCCATTCGAGAAGTCGTCCGCAGATGACATGTGGCGTGACTTGCGCGATCTTGGAGCGAAGGCGATACTCTGAAATTCGGTGTAGACGTGGTCAAGGATTTCTCGGTTTCACATCATGACAGGGACTAGTAGGTCCGGGATCATGGGAGTAGAGTCGCAGTGTTCGGAACTTTCGATTCGAGGTATTCGGGTGCCCCTTCACGAAGACTAAACTTTAGATGAAGGGACCGGCAAAGCGATCCCCGACTCGCCAGGGTCTGTCCGTGCTGCTTTTCCTGAGTGCGACCCTGGGGCTCATTTCCGTTATCCTGTCGATCATGTTGCTGGTCCATATGAGCCTCGTATGTAAAACTCAGGCAGCTGAGGGTGTTGGATTGAGGGCTTAGGCTTCTGCGTTTGAGGGCTAAGGCTACGGGTTTATGGCTCTAGGGTTGAGGGGATTCTGTTTGATGATATGCACATGCGCTGGGTTTGCGTGGCAGTTGTGACGTAACCCACCTGAAGCCGTAAACCATCGTAAACCCTGAAAGTCCACGACCTTGCGCTAAATCCTGTATCGTTTATCAGCACGCAGAGCCCCAAAAGCTGAAACAAGATCAGCAAGACGAAGGCGCCCAAGGCCCAGATTTCGTGTGAGCTGACAGCTAAGGAGCTTCTACGTGCATGACCCAGATGACCTTCTGTATTTTGTGCTCCTCCATAGAGACAGTCTGTGGACATAAGCCTGATTTTGTGTCTCGTCACCGCCGGGATCTCTATTCCACTTGCAGTCTTTGTGACTCGGCCGGCCATGGGCAGTTTGGGTTTCATGGTGTCCGGATTTATCGTGTTTGCCATCAGAATACAGCCTTACGTGCTGCAAGACCGTGATGTGAGGTCACTCTAGACCCTGTAATGTCCATCACGTTCTGGCCCGTCGCGCTGCTTCTGATCGCGGTGCTTCTGTTCTACCTGCGGTCCCTCTTCTGGCTATCCCGACGCGATCATGCCAAGGCCAGCCATAGGGAGGCCTTCATCGAGCTCGTTTCAGCCGCCTACGACCAGCACCAGAAGGAGACAAACGCTGAAGAGCCCTCGGAGGTAAAGCCTGAGGCAGTGAAAGCTTCAAAGAGCGACGACGACCTGCACGAGTCGACTATGTAAAGGCTTCTATGCACGGTTTGCAGCTTAACCCTGGTTTGGGGTTCAAGGCCTTTGGCCTGCGCTGCTGTGAGCTGAAAAGCAGCTCGCAGGGGAGCGCGGCTTCGGTGACTTTCTGCGAGGGGGTTCGCCGCCGTGTTGATCTCGTTTCACGAGCCTACGCTTGCTTCTGCATTTGTCCAAGAAGGGGAAGCGCATGCTCCGAAAAAGAGATTCAGGTTGCACCGTCTTGACTTGACTGGTAGGTCCTGGTAGGTGGTAGTTTGTATGAACCGCGACGAGGCACTTTTCGCATTGCGACGGCTCACGCTTGACCTTGAACTGTCGAGCTCAAACTAGCACCCGGACACCAACACAGCAACGGGAGAAATGTGGTTTCGGGCCAAAGCGCTGCAAAGGTATGCGCCGAATGAAGGTTACAAGCGCCAACCCAAGGAAACACTCAGATGTTAGTTTCTGTCCTGGTGCTTATTCAATTGCTGAACTGGTCCGAAGCCGTAAGCAACCCCAAAGCCAAAACTTAAGTGCCCTCACCCGGAAATGTGGACTCCACCGGACAACCCAAAACCCGGAGCCTTAAACCGAGCCAGGAGCAAGTCAACAGCTACGCACAATCTCAATACAAAGTCCTTGCATACGGAGGATCGTGCCATTCATCTGAGTTTTTGGAATTTAGTGCCTAGGGGGCTTGATAGTTTGGGCAAAGGACCTACTAGGCAGTCCAGCCGCCCCCATCCTGGAGCTCACGAACCACCCTGGCAGACTGTTAAACACTGCAAAGCAAACACTCGCGAGGTTAAGACATACAGCGCCCTAAAACCATCTACTCCGCATTCATCCCGAGGCCCCCCCCCCAAATCCTAAACCTTGCATCCCAGACCTCTACCACAATCTCTAATCCCTACACTGACGCCCTAGTCCCACAACACTAAAACTAATCATAAACCCCTAAACCCTTCCCTTACACCTTAATTCCTACCGCCGTAAGACCGTTTAAACCCGACTGTCAGGCTGCGGAGCTCTCCACTGGCAGCACCTGGGACTACGAGCCCGAGCGAAGGAGGCTAGGTTTGAAAGGAAATCGAATAAAGATATCTAAAGGCAATGGGGGTTTAGGGTTTAGGGCCTAGGGTTTAAGGGCTTAGGCTTTTAGGGTCTCGGGCGGCTTTTGGGGTAGATCGTCTCGCTGCTAGCCTTTGAAAATTAGGGTTTCCAGGGGCTTCGGACAGAAGGTAGTTGAATAGGTAGATGCTAGAAAAGTTCAAAGTGCACATTTGCATGTTTCTCGCTCATAGTACCAGAAAATGTGCTTGTGCCGGCAATTGGTTCCTGCAACTGCGGCTTCTAGTACTTACCAGCTTCAAGCTGCCGGTAGTACCGTTGTCAGACATAAGTTCTTCGACACCACTATAGTACTGTACCTCTTCAGCTCATGCCGTTACCGTGGATGTTGGTGGCGATCAGGATAGGGCATGAAAGCCGCAGCCCACGTGGGCGATTTTGCAATTTGCTCTCAGCCTGCTTCCAAGCTACCCAAAACCGTAAGACTCAAAACCCATCCTGGCAGGCTGCGCGCGCAGCTGGATCAGAAGGCACTGGGGGCTGAGAGGTAGGGCAGTCCAGGCTCGGGCCTAGAGGTTTGGGAAAAATTTGGATGTGGCATTGCGAGCTTTGTGTCTGTTTCGGATTTTCAGGAGTTCAATTTTTGCTATCCATATATAGATCCTTGTGAAGTAGGAGATGCTTGAACGGGATATTTCGTGCAAGCCCTGAACCCCAGATCTCGTGTTGCTTCAGTTTGTTGACTGTTCTTCGGCTTTACTTTGTCCCGAGCATTGGATGCCAAGTGCTACAGGTGTCAAGTTGCGTTGTTCGTATCATTCCATTGTTATCCCTTTTCCACCTCTTCTTTGGAGCCATGCAGTACGACCACCCACACGGAGCCCCACATCCTATTGCCAGATGTGCTTGCGCATTGTCTGAAGCCCGAAACACTAAGTTCATTCTGAAGCAAACACACCATTACCCTGCACCAAGAATCCTTTGTCCACGACCCTATGAGCTCTGTATAAGCCGTAAACAACCAAGAGCCACATCCTTTGAGGTACAATCCTAAAGCAACTCTCAAAGCCCTGCAGCTCTCCATGCTATTAGGTTGATGCAGAAGCCGCATTGGCAGAGGCAGGGTGTCGGGTCCGTTGGGTTTAGGATAGTTTTTGAGGGCTGTAGGGACTTGGAATTGAGGATTTCGGGTTTAGGCTGTAGGATTTGGGGATTCAGACGGTTTAGGCTTAAGAGCCCTCATGAGTACTGTCTGGCACCAAGACTCTCTAACTCGCTTCGTTGCGATGCTCCCTTGAAAGGGCTGACGAAGAAGTCACTTCAAATTCTTGCCATATTGCCTGCCTATTAAGCCTCTCGAAAAAAAATCCGATGCTTCTACCGAAAAGGTAATTAACGCTAGTCCTTATACTCCCTAAACCTGCGCTTTCAGAGCAAGCGATCGAAATTGAAATCAAACCTAAACCGTCCCAGCAACCCCCCAAACCCGAGCCGGAAAGTCCCGCAGGAGCGTGCCCGCGCCGCGGTGCTCCAGCGCTCCACCTTGGCAGTTGTTCTCCGGCTCCAGGCCAACGGAGCTTCAATTGGGTTTAGGGTTCAGGGGTTTAGGGTTTAGGGTTCGGCACTTCGCAGGTCTAAGGCCACAACCTTGAAGTTGTAGGGTGAAGGTTGGGAGCTGCGAATTAAATGTGCAGAGAATCAAGCTTAAGAACCAGCTTGAATGGCTTTCAGGATTTGGGGCTCCATTCTCAGTAGGCTGTGAAGTTTACGATCGTGGCTCGTTCTCGAGAGTTTTCGCTAATGCCTCATGGAAAGGGCTAGGATTACCAAGGCTCTCCGGTTTCGGGCCGATGCATACATGTGCCATCACTTGCTGGGAGATTCATGAGCTGGGCGCATCAGTTGTCAGGGCCAGGTAATTATTTTGTCACAGAGTTGGGTGGACCCGATTCTGGGGTACCTTGCATCAGCCCGGTTCGGATTGCCTATGTTCCCCACCTCTGTGCCCCAAGCCCTGAAACCTAAACCCTCAACAAGCTCTGAAGCCCCCAACCCTAAACCCGAGACCCGCAAACCAAAAACAAGACCCCCACACCCCAAACCCTGAAGTTCTATTGGGACAGGAGCAGATGCAGGATCTCGCGGCGAAAGCTCAAGCCGTACGTGGTCCACTCAGATTTTCAGGCCTTGGATACGGGGTTTGGAGTTTGGGTTTTCGGGTTTATCGTTTCGGATATGGATTTAGGATTCGAGCTCAGTCATTAAAGCATTGACCTAATGCCCTCACGATTGAAGCTACGCCCTTAGCTCGCAGGCAAAAACCCTCAGCCCGTAATCGGATCTGGGAGTTTAATAGCGTGTAAGGGGCCGCTATTTAAATGTGGAAGGACACTTCATCTGTATCGCCGAAGCCGCGCGTAGATAGTCTTCAGCTGTACGTAGCCGAAACTTGAGTCTCCGCACGACAGCTGGTTGAGGCCTTCGCATTTCGAACAGCTTCTTTGAATGATGCGCTGTGAGCTTCGGATGCTTGTAGCCTGGAAACTATGTTGGAAACCTTGCTATAGGGGCCTAACTAGTTACCTACACTATTTTGAGCGTTCCTTATTATAATTGTAGTATAATGGCCCCCCAGATTACTTGCTAAGTTCTGGGCCCAAACTCACCCCCCCTCAACGACTCCACGGAGTCGGCGCTAGGGCTGAGGGCTGGATCTCGAGAGGCTTTCGTTTATTCAGAAAGTGGTTGGAGCCAAAATCTTTCTGCAGCCATGTGAAACCCCACTGGAAACCCTAAACAATGACAGCCAATTTTGGAGTTTGAAGTGGAAAAGTAGTTGAGAAGCTTAACGCGTCTCGTGGGTTGCGCAGG